CCTAAATACATGGCAAATGCCTCCTTTTATAGCCCAAAATTAAGAACTATTGATTTGATGATTAATTAATGAGTGGGTAACCAACTCTTGACTTGGTGACAATCCTTATCTTCTTTTGTCTAAATAAAACATCATTGATAATGTCATAATTTGCACTAGACTTCCAACTAAAAGTTGTAGGAAATTGTCTCAACTTTCCAGGAAAACAATTTGAGGTCATTTGAATGAACAGACTTTCTAATAAAAGTTCTAGGAAATTGTCTCAGCTTTCCAATAAAAAATATTCAATGCATTTGGACTTCTAACTCGAGATATGAGCTGAACACTGAATAGTATCTGAGCTATAGGATATATTCTGACTTTTTTGTTATTGCTAAGATTTGGACTTCCAAACAACGAAATTGAATCTTGTATTCCCATGAATATTTTATGCCTATGTCTTAGCTTTATAGCCATATAAACCAAAATAAAATCCAAGATCTACAACTCTAGATATGACCCAATTACCAAACAGTATTCGAGTTTGGACTACACCAACATCTCCTTTTTAAGTTTGGCCATTTCTTTGTCCTTTCAATTTCCATTTTAAATTTATCAATTAATCCTTTCATTTATGTGATAAGCCTGCATTTAAGATGAATATTTACCACAAATTAAAGATATCTTATATTATTAGACATGTTATTATAAAACATGTTTTAGTTAAGGAGTTATTGATACTTCAAGTGTAAAATAATGATATAAAACCTTGATAAAAATGCACTTTAAGATACTAATCACTTCCCCTATATGATTTAGTTTTATTGTAATTATAATTCTCAATCAACTTAATATTAAAAAAATCAACATAGATAATTTTAGAAAATATCATAAACAAAATCATATGGGAAAACACTGCAGTAATTCACAGTGTTTTAAAAAAAAATTATAAAGCTAAATTTTCAATCTGTTCAATATTAAAAAAAATAAAATCAGCAGAGATAATTTTAGAAAAAAAATAAATAACAATGCTTTCCTCATATGATTTAGTTTTATTGTAATTATAATTCTTAACTAACTCAATATTAAAAAAAATTGACAAAGATAATTTTGAAAAAAATCATTAAAAAAAATCATGTGAGGAAACACTACAACAATTCACAATGTTTTAAACAAAAACAAATTACAAAGCTAAATTTTCAATCAGCTTAATAATAATAAAAAAAATCAACAGAGATAATTTTTTAAAAAATATAACAAAAAACATGAAAGAAAAAACCATGTTGGAAATACTGTAGCAATTCACAGTGTTTTGTGATGAAAGCTATAATGCTTCTCTACATGATTTAGCCTTATTTGTAATGTCTTATAATTATAATTTTCAACCAACCCAATATTAAAAAAATAAAATTGACAACGATAATTTTAAAAAAATCATAAGAGAAAAAACCATTTGGAGAGACACTGTTGCAATTTACAATGTTTTTTGAGGAAAGCTACAATGCTTTTTGCACATAATTAAGCTTTATTATAAAGTTAAATTTTAACCAGCTCAATATTAAAAAAAATAAAATTAACAAAGATAATTTTATAAAAAAATATTATAAAAAAAGAAAATACAAAAGAAACTGGAAAAAAACTATGTGAGGAAAAACTATATCAATCCATAGTGTTTTGTAAGGAAAGTTACATTGTTTTCCCCACATGATTTAGCCTTACTTGTATTTACTTGTAATTGTAATTTTTAACATGCTTAATATTTAAAAAATAAAATTGACAAAGACAATGTAAAAAAAAAAACATAACAAAACAGAAAAAATCCATATGGAAAAAAATATTATAGCAATCCATAGTAATTTGTGAGGAAAGCTACAGTGCTTTTCTCACATATTGTAGTTGTAATTATTAACCTGTTTAATATTAAAAAATAAAATCAGAAAAATAATTTTGAAGAAAATCATAAAAAGGAAAAAAAAACTATGTAGAGAAATAGTGTAGCAATCAACAATATTTTAAATAAAAAATTATAAAATTAAATTCTTAATTAGCTCAATATAAAAAAAATAAAAAAATAAAAAAATAAAAAAATAAAAAAATAAAAAAATAAAAAAATAAAATTTTTAACCAATTCAATATTAAAAATATAAAATTAAAAAAAAATAATTTTAGAAAAAAAAAGAAAAGGGGAAGCACTTTTTTTTTTTAAAAAAAAAGGTAATACACTGTGAGTGAAAAAAAAAAGCAAAAAAATAATTTTTCAAGCGCAGTACTGTCAACTTTGGGAGTTTGAATTCGGTGTTTCTGATGCTGCTTTCTTCACCCATATCCCCTTCTTCATCCGATCTTGCTCCACCTATTATCTCCTCCATTTTCTCACATCCTTCAACAACAATCCTTTCCAGGTTTACCAGGCGAATCCAGAAAGATGGAACAAAGATTTCTCTGATACTGCAATTCCTTACTTCGATTACTCGGAGAGAATCGCAAATCAGTTTTGCACTACAAATGCTTTTTAGTTCTGGTAAATTTTTCAAGCGCAGTACTGTCAACTTTGGGAGTTTGAATTCGGTGTTTCTGATGCTGCTTTCTTCACCCATATCCCCTTCTTCATCCGATCTTGCTCCACCTATTATCTCCTCCATTTTCTCACATCCTTCAACAACAATCCTTTCCAGGTTTACCAGGCGAATCCAGAAAGATGGAACAAAGATTTCTCTGATACTGCAATTCCTTACTTCGATTACTCGGAGAGAATCGCAAATCAGTTTTGCACTACAAATGCTTTTTAGTTCTGGTAAATTTTTCAAGCGCAGTACTGTCAACTTTGGGAGTTTGAATTCGGTGTTTCTGATGCTGCTTTCTTCACCCATATCCCCTTCTTCATCCGATCTTGCTCCACCTATTATCTCCTCCATTTTCTCACATCCTTCAACAACAATCCTTTCCAGGTTTACCAGGCGAATCCAGAAAGATGGAACAAAGATTTCTCTGATACTGCAATTCCTTACTTCGATTACTCGGAGAGAATCGCAAATCAGTTTTGCACTACAAATGCTTTTTAGTTCTGGTAAATTTTTCAAGCGCAGTACTGTCAACTTTGGGAGTTTGAATTCGGTGTTTCTGATGCTGCTTTCTTCACCCATATCCCCTTCTTCATCCGATCTTGCTCCACCTATTATCTCCTCCATTTTCTCACATCCTTCAACAACAATCCTTTCCAGGTTTACCAGGCGAATCCAGAAAGATGGAACAAAGATTTCTCTGATACTGCAATTCCTTACTTCGATTACTCGGAGAGAATCGCAAATCAGTTTTGCACTACAAATGCTTTTTAGTTCTGGTAAATTTTTCAAGCGCAGTACTGTCAACTTTGGGAGTTTGAATTCGGTGTTTCTGATGCTGCTTTCTTCACCCATATCCCCTTCTTCATCCGATCTTGCTCCACCTATTATCTCCTCCATTTTCTCACATCCTTCAACAACAATCCTTTCCAGGTTTACCAGGCGAATCCAGAAAGATGGAACAAAGATTTCTCTGATACTGCAATTCCTTACTTCGATTACTCGGAGAGAATCGCAAATCAGTTTTGCACTACAAATGCTTTTTAGTTCTGGTAAATTTTTCAAGCGCAGTACTGTCAACTTTGGGAGTTTGAATTCGGTGTTTCTGATGCTGCTTTCTTCACCCATATCCCCTTCTTCATCCGATCTTGCTCCACCTATTATCTCCTCCATTTTCTCACATCCTTCAACAACAATCCTTTCCAGGTTTACCAGGCGAATCCAGAAAGATGGAACAAAGATTTCTCTGATACTGCAATTCCTTACTTCGATTACTCGGAGAGAATCGCAAATCAGTTTTGCACTACAAATGCTTTTTAGTTCTGGTAAATCTGTCAATCTCAGGTATGTCAACTTTGGGAGTTTGACTTCGGTGTTTCTGATGCTGCTTTCTTCACCCATATCCCCTTCTTCATCCGATCTTGCTCCACCTATTATCTCCTCCATTTTCTCACATCCTTCAATAGCAATCCTTTTCAGGTTTACGAGGCGAATCCAGCAAGATGGAACCATGATTTCTGTGACACTGCAATTCCTTACTTCAATTACTCGGAGAGAATCGCAAATCAGTTTTGCACTACAAATGCTTTTTAGTTCTGGTAAATCTTTCAAGCGCAGTTCTGTCAACTTCGGGAGTTTGAATTCGGTGTTTCTGATGCTGCTTTCTTCACCCATATCCCCTTCTTCATCCGATCTTGCTCCACCTATTATCTCCTCCATTTTCTCACATCCTTCAACAAAAATCCTTTCCAGGTTTACGAGGCGAATCCAGGAAGATGGAACCAAGATTTCTGTGACACTGCAATTCCTTACTTCAATTACTTCGAGAGAATCGCAAATCAGTTTTGCACTACAAATGCTTTTTAGTTCTGGTAAATCTTTCAAGCGCAGTTCTGTCAACTTCGGGAGTTTGAATTCGGTGTTTCTGATGCTGCTTTCTTCACCCATATCCCCTTCTTCATCCGATCTTGCTCCACCTATTATCTCCTCCATTTTCTCACATCCTTCAACAAAAATCCTTTCCAGGTTTACAAGGTTTGGCAGCAAGACAGGAGGGAACAACTTCTTCATACCCTTACAACCAGAACAATGAAACCTTTTAAGACCAGAAAATATACCATTATAAGATGGAGATGGCTGTGGCAGTGGAGCAGAGCATAACCAAGACGATGAAACCAAGCTCTCCAAGCTATTGCAATTCAAAATCTTGATATACTCCAGTTCAGTTGCATACTTTAATGACAAAACATCGCCTAAACTTCTCGCATCGATACATCTACAAATTAGTTGTTGAATGTCATTTGGGGAGATGACCTGAAAATCTCCATCTCTATTGATATTCAAATTACCCAAAACAACCATTTTACTTCCGGGACCACTGTACTTTAATTCCCCGAGTTCGCCTTCCCTGAACTTTCCTACAACAATTTTGTATGTGCTTAGTGATTGGGTCTCATCCCGAGATTTGAGGTACTCCACGTAGTTAGAGTGATCTTCAAAATGGCATTCCAAACTTTCCAACTTCCTCAAGCATCCTACTTCCTTTCCTTCAACTTTTACTAGAAAATATCTTTCCCCCATGTATTTTCCTCTCGCCTGTAGAAGCTGTTCCCCTAGTATCAAGACTTGCAGGTGAGGGAGTTTAGTTAATATCCCACAGGGAAACTTGTTTTCGCCACATCCATTCATTCTTAGATACCTCAGGCTGGATAGACATTCCATGCCATGAGGAATCTCTTCAAGTGGAGCACGAGCGAGATCTAACCTCTTCAGTGCCCTGAGCTTTTTCAATGTTGGTACACGGCTTAACCTCCGACAATGTTTGAGCAACAGTGAAGTGAGACCCACCAAATCAGAGACAGAATCAGGCAAACATTCAATAGCTGTTTTAGACAGATCGAGGACCTTGAGCCCATGCATTTGCTCGAAAAATGAACCCGCAATGAATCGCAACCTATGATTACTACACAGCAATAAGGTTGACAGATTTGGACACCTCACTGAATGGCTGGAACAAATCTCTTCAATTTGGTTGTGCATTAGTGAAACGGTCGTAAGTTTGTCTGTCCACTCCTCTGTATCCGGCAATTCTTTTAATTGTGCACCGGCTTTAACAATGGCTCTAGAGTTCTCTTCCAGTATTTGGATGGCCATGTCCCTAATCAAGTCATGCATCATTACAGCACCACCAAGACGTTTTCTTTCCAATAGGCAGACTTTTTCAAGTTTATCAAGCATGGAATGGCCTTCATCAAATTCTGCCTTCCTACTCGTCAGCCCTTGTATCACTCCCATATCAATCAAATAAAGTATCAATTCCAGTCTATTGATAGCAGAGTCTTCTGGAAAAAATGCACAATACAAGAAACATTTTTGCATAGCTTCATTGCTTAGGTGCGTGTAACTAAATCTCAATGATGAAAATACCCTTTCCATGCCATTTGGCCCAACTCTTGATTGTCTCAGTCGTTCTAAAGCATTACTCCACCCGTGTATGCCATCCACCACCTTCATGGTTCCAGCCATTGTTTTAATTCCTAGCGGCAAACCATCACACTCCTTTGTGATAGATTTTGCAAATTGTTCCACTTCTGTAGAGAGATGTCTGTCATGTCCAAGGATCTCCCTGAACAAAGTCCAAGCATCTACATCAGAAAGAGGATTCACTATGATATTGTTTCGGCAATCCATTCGTCCACAAACCTCTTTTGATCGAGTTGTCATAATCAGCTTGCATCCTTTCAATGGAACAGGAATTCCCACTTCTTGTAGCTCAAAAGAGTTCCACAAATCATCTAAAATTAGAATCCATTTTGATTTCTTCATTAGTTCTAGTGACAATTCTGCAGCTATGAGCAACTCCTCCTCTTCATTGGAAAGAGATAACTTTATACGTTTTGCGATCTTCTTCTGCAATTTTTGAATGCTGAAATCTTGAGATACGGTCACCCAGTAAACATGAGGAAAAATATCAGCAATTTGTTGAAGCTCGTTATAGACATGTTTTAACATTGTAGTTTTACCAGCTCCCCCCATCCCGTAAATGCCAATGGTTGAAACTTCATCATCCATCAACCAAGACCATATCACTTTTTTATTCTCTTCAAATGCTTGACCCACTAGCTTTGTAGAGCCGATTGGTAAAGGAGCTCCTCTAGTCTCACTTGTGTTGTGTTTAAGCCCTACAGAAGAGTTAGCTCCTGCACCAGGCTGCACTGATCTTCCACTATTGTTCTCCATATCCTCCTCCTCCTTCTCCACTGGTTCTTTCCTCATTCTATCCATGTTCTGCACATCATTCATAATGGCATCATTGTTTACTGCTGGAGAGCAGAGTTGATCATCATATCTTGCGTGGCCAAGACACAATAGATCTGCTGGTTGGGATGAATCTTCTCGAGGCTCATAGACCTGATTAATTGATTGCCTGTCATGAGAGCTACCTCTCTCCAGAAGCGGCGCTTGCTCTGTTCTCGGTATAGTCTCAAATGCATCATGCGGAAGCTCCTCAGGGGAATAACGACACCATGGAAGCTCAGTCTCTGGACTAGCTTGCTCAGTCAGTGGTCTAGTCTCCGGTGCATTATGCACAAGTTCACTCCTTCCTCTAAACAAATCACGTGCAATTTCCCTAGTGAAAAAAGGTTGTCCTTGTGCCATTTCTACATGTGTCACTTTATTGTTATGTTCTTGAGCAGAAGCTGAAATTGCACAAGATAGTGGATCTCCTCTAGTCTCACTTGTGTTGTAATTTAGGACTCCAGAAGAGCTAGCTCTTGCACCAGGCTGCATAAATCTTCCAGTATTGCTCTCCACATCCACCTCATCAGCTTGATTAAATGATGGCCTCTCATGAAAGCTACCTCTCTCCAGATGCTCCATGTCTTCAACAGTGATGCTAGCCATCCAATCTTCGAGCCAAAGATCTTCTAGTTGGTGTGCCATCATCATTTCATTGTTCTGCTGTTGTGCTGAAGCTGAAATTTCATTAGTGACATCGTTATTGCTTGAGCCTGCTACAGTTTTAAGTTTCTTTTCTGGAGGGCCATCAATTGCTGCAAGGGCTGCGTCTTGGACATCTTGAGGCACTTGTCCACAAATTTTAACACCACGGCCTGTCACTCCTGCTAAATGCAATTTGATCCTCGAAATGGAAGTACCTTTGGCAAAACAATGCCCACAAAACTTACAGCTCATGCGACCATCATCCATCTTTTCAACATATTCCCAAAAAGATCTGTACTGATAGTTCATGGTTCTTTTTAATTTAATTATTTATTTTGACTAGTGCTGCATATAACTAAAAACTTCAACAAAGGAAGGAGCAGCCAATTATTGAGCTTCAGTGAGTTAACGTGTGGACCCACCCAGTGTTCAATCTTTGAAAAAGCTCATCTGAAAATGTATGAGCACAGGCAAAAGGAAGCTGTGCGGTGTTCCACGTTTTTCCTTTTTCTTGTTTTAACTTAAGCAGTCCACTGTAACTTGTTTGCGGTCTGTCACTAACAGCTCACCTGTGCAAATCCCTTGTGATCCGACCCCTCCAGCACCTCTGAGCAATTTTCTTATGAGCAAAGTTTTCATCAGAGAGAGCTTAATTCCTGGAGAATATGAATGTCGATTAGGGTTAAAGCAATAATAATAAAAAAAAAAGTATATATTCTCCATGCATGCATGTTGTTCTGAATCTGTGTCAGGTCTTGAAGATGAACTATATTTTTCCGACACAATTAGAGATCCAAATACCCTCTATCAAGTATAAAAACTAAAAATCAAATCAAGTAAAAAAAATATTTTCAAATCTTAATCAATTTTTTTTAGATATTATTGGAGATTTAAATCATTTTTATTGAATATTCATATGCAATGTTGTCAAAAAAAAAAATTATTCATATGCAATGTTGTCAAAAAAAAAATAAACGAGTTGATTAATAAAATATTATGATTTTATAAATTAATATGTATCTAACATGTTAAATTGAATTAAAACTCAAAAATTAATAAAATTAATAAAAAAATTTAATTTAGTTAAATTTAACTAATTTCACGAGTTTGAAAAAAATATAAAATTATATATTTCAATAATATGTAATTTAATATTTTCATTGTTTTAAATTTATATCTTACAAAACTTGTGCAATTTAATAATTAAAGACTTGAATTTAATTATAATTATTTTTAATGATATAAGTTATTTGGAGATGTTATTTCCATAAACTTAAAATACTTTTTTTTTATATAATTTCTTTTACAAATTATTGACATATTAGTTGTTATATTACTCTATTTTATCCAATAAATGTATAGAAGCTAATGCTTTTATCGCTGGAATATGCCGGGTCCAAAACATCACTTTCATTATCTCTTTAAAAATAAAAATTAAGACTGAATTATATTCTTTTGATTACACTTTGAATGCGTTGTACCAATCCATGATACATTTGTGCCTATAAATTAATAAAATAAAGTATAAAGATCATGTGATTTAATTTGATTTTGTAATCATAATGAAATAAATCAAAGGAATTGGGCACCCAAACTCAACTAATTAATAACAAATGTTATTTTCAATTTTGCAACTATATATGGACATAAAGTATGTAAAATTCCAAAACCTTGCTGGCGACATTATCTATCTCATCTCACCTTCCTATGTTCTTGAGGTATAATTATAAATTATAAATTAGTCTGTGAGTTAATTAGAGATTTAACTAAAAACAGATATAAATTAATCTAGCCTAACAAACAAATTAATCCAGTTTAATTCAATTAAAAATAAAAATTAACTTGTAACCTTGTAAAAAAGAATTATAATATTAAGTTATTAACAAATTATTTATAGTTCCATTTTATAAATAAAATATAAGGAAGTTAATTGTCATTATTTATTATGAAAGTTTTATTGTATCTCATTGCTAGTTTTCTGTTATTACTATAAATATGTATGAAATAATATTTTTAATTTTTATACAGAATTATTATCGTCACTTATGAATTAAACAATCATGTCTCCATTTAAATCGTTAATAATGTAGTTCTTTCATCAATTCTATATGTTTTATTTATTTATTTCTTGAGAAATTAGAAAAATAAAAAAATAGAAGATTTGAATTTTTGATGAGATTTTGAGAAAAAATAATGATATTAAATATTGCTTTAAAATTTCTTAAATGATAAGGAGTAATTGGTTATTTATTATACTATGAGGATTAATCAATAATGTGTACAAACTATAAGGACTATAATATAATTGCATAAGCCTCAAACTTTGGGTGCTTTATTTATGATGTCTCAAATTCGTTACTGAGATTGATAGTTGTCCTGATAGAGTTTCCTCCACTAACCCGACCGAGTCACAACTCAAAACTCTGAGTCGCAACCGATTCCGATCTCCTCTCAGGCACCGCTCTCTCAGCCCAATTACCACCATGCTTTACGCTTTAGGGTTCTGATTTGAGTTGCTTGGACTGATCAGGGTTTAATCCGATCCTGGACAGCGATGGTGTTGAGGTTTAATGTAGGAGGGAAAGTAGTGGAGAGAGTGGATTTGATAAGGAAGAAGAAATGGCCATGGAGATTAGATATTTTGCCATTTGCAATTTTGTATGCGATTTGGATGGTAACGATTGTGCCGAGCATTGACATTGTTGATGCTTTTATTGTTCTTGGTGGACTCGTTGCTGTTCATGTTCTTGTTTTGCTTTTCACTGCCTGGTCTGTTGATTTCAAGTGCTTTGTTCAGTATAGTAAGGTAATATAGCTGTTAGCGTGTGTTTGGTTCTGGATTTTGGTGCTCTGGTTAGGGTTTTGTTTTGTGATTTGGGGGTTTTGTGTTTAGGTTAATGATATTTATGCTGCGGATTCATGTAAAGTTACGCCGGCGAAGTTTTCTGGTTCTAAAGAAGTTGTGCCATTGCATATTCGTCAAGAAGTAAGGGGTTTTTTTTCTTTATTTAAGTGGAAATGTATTTTTTTTCTCTATGTTGGTAGATTGAACTGATAATTGGATGTTCTTAGTTGATGTAGGATAATAATGGATTCATTTTGCAGATTGTTTTTTCGGGGGTGTGAAAAATGATGTTAACTATAGAATGATAGAAGAATTGTTTGCTCATGGTGGTGATGGTATTTGAGCTGTTAGGGAAATGTAGTTTGTTGTAAGTGGATTTGATGAAAGTTGGGTGATTTTTGAGGTGGTGAGGATGAAAGCTAAAAATGGATTCACTTCACGAATTGTTTTTTCAGGGGAGTTAAGGATAGAATTGAATGCAATGCATGTGCTGGTATGGTGGAATATTTTTCATTTGATTTCATATATTTTGAATGGGAACAAATGCTCAAATGGGCAAAAATCATTTTCTGAAATTTCATGGTGCGGAAGTGGGTCATCTGGCTGGAGTTTTTATCGATGGCATCTTGTGATTTTTCTGAACTTTGGTAGTGGAGGGTTTGTCTACGTTGATTGGTCGACGTAGTGTCTCAAGCTGAATTAAATCAGGACAATGTCCTAATCAAAAAGTTTAAATTAATAAACTTCTGTTAACCTTTTTATGTCATGTTTAAAAAATGCCATTATCATCATTTTGCAAATATGCTTGTTTCTAATGTCATATGACTTTTTCAAAAGTATTGCATGATTTGAAAAAATGAACTTTGCAGTGGATGGTTTACCTAGATTTGACTGCAAAAGATACAACTTACATTTGGTGATCCTGTGGAAGTTTGTAGCTGATTTATTTCACTGCTGGAGTTGCAGACTACAATGTTTTAGGGCTTTAGAAATTGAAAACACAAGTCTGAGAGTATATAAATTAAAGAAAAAAGAAACAAAACTACTAACACTAATAGATCCACTGGGGTTTTAAGGAATCACACTCCCTGATGAGGAAAGTATCACACTCTCAAAGTAAAGGGCAGCACATTATTCATAATAATTTGTTCATATTCCATTGAAATACCATAAGCATATTTATATCAGCTTGAGTTATTGCTAACCAGTTGGATTCCTATCTAAGAAACATAAACAAGTCACTAATTTAATGACTAAGAAAAGAAATAAAGCAGGAAAATAAATGTCTGACCATACCACTAAATTTCCTGTGGTCCAGGAAATTATAGAATTGCCCTTGACCATACTAACTAGAAACGGCATCTGTGAAAATAGCTTGAAAAAACTTAAAACCAACTTGCATAACCAATCATCTAGGCTTTTATCTCACTCAATTTAAGCTTTGCTGAATATCTCCTTTTGTCCCTTGCTTGAATATGCACCCAAAGTCAAATCTAAATCTGTAGGCAGTATCAGGAGTTGAGAGTAATTTTATTGACTATGTAAGATTAATCAATACTGAGATTTCTAGTTTATATGGTTATAACTTCGCTTTATCACCCACTCTTTGTTTTTCCCTGAAAATTTCCTTTACTTGCATGTATAGTCAGCAGCATCCTCAACTCCAGGGGATGTGGAAGAATTCTACTTTGATTTTAGAAAGCAGTGTTTCATCTATTCAAAGGAGAATGGGACATTTCGCAAGCTTCCTTACCCTACCAAGGAAACATTTGGCTACTATCTTAAAAGCACTGGCCATGGCTCTGAGGCTAAGGTAGCTGCTGCTGCTGAGAAATGGGGACGGAATGTGTGAGTTTTTTCTATCTTTCTGTTTCATTCATTTGTATGTCCAATATTTGTGATCTATAAAATTAAGGATACCAGAGTATATCAATCTTGTCATGGGAAAAGGTCTCCCAAGTGTCCTTCCATTTCATTGTTAACTGGTTCTTTCCTTGTGGGTTGTAAGTTTGTTTCTTGTTTCCAGTGTCTCTGTACCAGTTATTTTTCTGGATATTCATATCTAATAACCTTGCAGTATTAATGGTAATAAATGAACAGTGGGACTAACTTTTGGTTGATGCTTGTTAAGGATAGCAAAACCAAATTAACTTTTGAGAGATTTTATCATTTGGAATGACAATATTAGATTCTAGGTTCTATCAACTTCTGATCAAACTTTTTTTTTTTTTCCACGTTCTCATTTAAAACTACTACATCAAATGCATTTAATTTAATCCCTTGTATATGGAACTTAATTGCTGGACTTTTGATATCTTGAATTGTTTGTCTATTGGATTTTCTATGTATTAAATAAGGATTTGGCATAGCTCTTTCTTGTCCCTGGAATGATGTCATGATTTTTTCATCGTGCCTGAACATTTGAAGCATTGTTTATCTGTGTT